TATCGTACATTATAATAAGTTTAAACTGAAATTAGTGAGGCACACAGCTCAATTCTTAGAAACACAGGGAAAAGACACATGCGTCCTTGATTCAAAACTGACTGAAGAATAGATGTGAAGTCAGTGCTAGGAAAAAAAAAGTCTTTAACATACATAAAGCAGAAAATTCAGAAATATGTTTTGTGTGAAAAGGTCATTCTCCAAAATATTTGCAGGATATTCCATCTCAATTATTCACTGCCATGGACCAAGTCTGCCAGAAGTAGAAACACGGACGTGTATTCAGGCTAAACATCAGCACACTTCTTACATCCTTTCCAGCACAGGTTCTTGGTTTACTTTTACAATAACTGCTACCATGATATATCCAGTAGGCTGAAGCTTTCTTTCACGTCATTTTCAAATCTAATGATCTCAAGCCAAGTAACAGATACAATTTGACAGTCCTAGATAAGGTAATTTTTCTATACAGAGAGAAAAAGATCTCAGGAAACGAATTTACTTTTGAGTAAAATAATTCAGAAACTTGATACCCAGTTTTCAAACATCACCAACATGTCTTGGAGGTGAATAACTTAACAATGCAGTTCCTAATTGTGCAAATCACATCTAAAAATCAAGTCTGACTCCTAAGCCACTTAATTATCATAATAAAAGATGGCCTTCAGATCTTCAGTAGCTGCCCTGCATACAGGACATCATTCTCAGTTAGTCTGTTTTCTTTATATGCACATAACTCTTCTTAATATTTCTCTTTACATGTATTGAGCCTTGCAGAAAATACTCCATTATTCTGTCTACAATTTGACTCCTTAGTTTACCAACTGTTCCCTACCAAAAAATTATACACAAAGATCAACTTCAGTTAAGTTTTTAAGCATCTCTGTAATCCAACTATTATGTAGAGTGAATTCTGCAGCAGCCAACTGATAAACAAGAGTATTTTTTTCTGGATGTGCATCAAGATATTAAAACCTGGTTGCATATTTTTCACATTCATTCCTCCTTTTCACCATTTAGCATTTACCAATGGCCTTTCTCCTCTATCTTACAATTTAACGTTAAAATCAGTTAAAAATGCCAAAGGCTTAGACAGTGAAGTGGAAAAATAATTACTTGAATGCAGTCAACCACTGTGTCATCTTCACCTAATATAGGAAGGAGGAAATGGAAGACCGTCACTGAATTTTAATGAATTCATTAGTTAATTACTGTAAATCCCTGTGAAAGCACTAAGAATGATTATTACTTTTATTCCCAAGAAATTTATTATAATGGCAGGGATGGACCTCCAACAATGACTTCTCTCTAAGTTCAGAATATATAAATGCTGCAGGATGACATATATTAATTCTTTGCATAACTCAAGTACAACCTTCCATCAGAGTGAGATACTGACATATTACCACACAACAAGTACTGTTTTCCTTTTTTAATAGGTTAATTCAACTTAATAGAATTAGCTGTACTACAGGGTACTGCTGCTCGACAGGAATGAAGATGGTAAGTTAGTCAAGATACATACTATATTTGCTGCATAATGTGCCACACTAAGCCCTAACATAGATGAATAGAATTCTTGCAGAAAAATCACTGAAGCAATTGCATGAATCAGCGAAGCAAAAGCAAGGCTGAATTTGGCCCATCATCCCTAATTTTATTGAGTTTAATAAGAAAAACATGTATTTTAATTTCCTGACTGCAGTAAGACTGACAAAGTATTCTGGAATCAGTCAACAGCTTTAAGACCTAATCATTCAGACAGACAGACGGACAGAAAAGAGAAGCTTTTATATTAATTAATGTTTAAGGGGAAGTTTAAACGTGTATTCTGATAAGGCTATTTCTTGTTAGAATCAAGCAAGCAACAAAGTATTGTGCATTTTGAAAGATGCCTCGTACAAAGATGTGTATATTGACAAAAACAGGATGTTTTCTTTGCTGTGAATGTTTACACAGGAACTTCTGGCAGAGAAATACTCTGACATTCAGAAACATTTGTCACAGGATCTCTTTCTTTTCCATTACAATCATCTGTTGCTCTAAGTTAAAGTACCAGTGACCACTAGTTTAAGTTTCTGATAATTCAGATGTTGCTTACAGGGTCTTTTCTAAAGATTAATTCACTAATTGACTCGGCTTGTTTCAACAAAATGCCTTTCTTGCCCAATTCCCCACAATATGTAACGGGACAATGTTCCAGAGTGACTGTTTATTGAGATTAGAGATCTGGTGTCTGCATGTACTGGCTATATAATAAGAACATGACCTTTTAGTTGCTGTTTGTGACATTGGTAATTTTTACACTGAGAGACAGGGTAACGCACAGGAAAACACACCTTTAACATCTACTGCCTTAAAGGCTTCCAACACAGGAGGACAAGCCAGTCATTGCACTGTCACAATATTTAATTGATTCACATAAAGCAACAGTGTATCTTACACGAGGGCCAAAATCCTGACTTACATGTGGAGACAGAAATTCCCTTGAGCTCAGTATCTTACCTTCACCTCTATGCTGCTAAATCATTGGTTAGTAAAACTTTTTAAAGTATTAAAGTTGAATAACACAAAGGTGGCAACCAAGGCTGAAGCTAAGAAACACTTAAAGGAAAGTCCCACCTTTTCAATCTCCTCTCACACATCTTATTTGAAACTTGTGGAGGACAATCACGCACCACACTGATCCCTCCTGCCTGCAAACCATCAGCACGTTTCCCAAAGGTGCCCACAGCATCAAAAGTCTATAAGAATCCAAACCACAAACGCCACAGGAAAAATACTACAATGCAGGATGACCAGAATTGTCTTTTGCAACAGAATAAAACACGGAGATCAGCATTACAGAGAGAAGAGCGAGGAGATGGGAAATGAGTGACAGAAAAGGGGAAAAAAATAATCAAAACAACACAACACTAAGAGAAGCTTAAAAGCAGTAGGAGAGTACAGTTTTTCCTTTCAAGTTTAAATAAAAAGGAAAACATAAAAGGAAAACACAGGGAGGTTTGGCTTATGAATTAACAGAAAAACAACCTCTCCACCAAAAAGACAGCTCTCTCATTTCAGAGCTGTGAGCTTACATATTAAACACAAACCTGCAAAAATCATATTCACCATGACTGCTTTTCCCTCTTCAAGAAAATAAACAAATAAATAAAAGCAGTAGGAAGCTAAAGTGTGTATTTGCAGGTTATGCCAGCAACACCACGCACTTTTAAATATTTCAATAAATCTATAAATTAACTCATGTGCTTTCCTGATCTTCCCTTACTGCAGTCATGTTCAAGGACACCCCATATCACTGTCACAGAAGTTGATCATAACATCCAGAGATATTCTCCTTAGCACATTACTTTCAAAATTGTGCAAACTGTACTTCAAAAGTACAGTTTTCTGCTGTTTCTCAAACAGGTATATCTGCTGAGATCTTTGGAAATAACAGGTGAAAATAAACACTTCCTTGATGCTGACTGATCCCTCATGTTGGTTACCACAAGTTTTTATTCTGAGACCAGAAATTAACACCAGTCTTCAGGAATGGTAGTATCCATTCAAATTTTTGTAATAATATATCATGTTGAGCTACGTGAATGGAGATCTCATTTACACCTTAAGATCACTTTGTAATTGTAAAACTATTTCTCATATTCCAATGCATTTAACTTCACAGAAAAAGAAAGAAAAGATAATGGAGATTCAACATAAATCTTGAATCTAAATGTAAACATCAATATAAAAATATAACACCTAAACACGAGGATATCTGCAACAGCTGTAGAAGTTGGTAGACCTTGCAGGTGCTCAAAATAGAGCTGCTACATATAAAAAAATTATTACAACAAACAAATATCAGCAACACAAAACAAACGATCTGTGAAGAATAACGCTTGGTGTGGTGTTCATACAATCACCAGAATTAGTGCCAGGAATGATAAATGGAGGGAAACAGCAACCAATTAACTAAGTATGCGCACTTCCCCTAATTTATGTCTTTCCACATTAATTCAAGTCTTTATTTTAAAAAACAAAACAGGGAAATTACCTATTTGTTTTAACACCAACCCTTTACAGTAGTGGCATGCACAAAACACGTGAATGGTTAAAAACAACAAAAAAAGGATCTTGTTTCAATTAATATTTAAATTTTATATTCTGGAAGCACCATCAAGATCAAGCCTCACGCATTATAAATTCAAAGCATGAATGTGCACTACCAGTAATAACTGTACTACTAGCACAGATATACTACAAGTAACATGGCTATTTTCTGACATGACAGAAAGCATTTATTTAGCAGGAAATGCAACAGAAACCCTATAATTGGCAAGAACCTAAAGCACATGTACAGAGAATGCAGGAAGGAAACAAGTGTGAAACAAGCGCTCCATATTTTCTGAAATCCTTTCTACAGGATCTTTCTTCCTAAGGAGCACTGTGTACAGGAAGCATATTTGTTTCTCAAGTGTACACGTGATTTTGCTGATTGTTCCTCAGATATTTTACCTTGAACACTGCTCTGAGAACGGACTGCCTAGAGAAAACAATCCAGCTGAGTGCTCTGCCTCAAAGCACATAAGGGAAATACCCTTCTCTTGCATTCTTAGTTTGATTAATATAACTGTTCCATGCAAAATTCAAATCATTAAATTATTTCCATGGCATTTCTCTTGTATTTAGCAGGGCATATTTTGCATTTGCTGTGCCTAGGGTTTAGTCCTGCAACAAGACATTCTGTTCCTATACCATGCATATTTACTCCTTTGTAAAGGTTGATGGCAGTGGCTTCTTTCTGTGTTGTTTTTTTTCTTCTCCACTTTTCTTTTTGTTTACAGTTTTTCAAGTAAAAGAACAAGGAAGGTAAAACTATAACCTACATGCGCAATAGAAGCTATGGCACTTTGCACTGTTGCAGTCCATTATGAAAATAAACTAAAACATATGTTAGCTTCTGTACTAAGAAGGCTAAGGGAACTTTTAAGTAGAGTCAGTCTTGATCTTACCTGTCCTATATCCTGTGTTGTTGAGGTACACAGCAAAAGTACGTATTTCATGCTGAGCCTGCCAGGATGGAGAAGAACAGTTCTCGTTGTTAGTGTAGGTGTTGTGGTTGTGGACGTATTTCCCTGTAAGAATGGAGGAGCGAGATGGGCAGCACATTGGTGTTGTCACAAAGGCATTGATGAAATGAGCACCTCCATGCTCCATGATCCGTCTTGTTTTATTCATCACTTGCATAGAACCTGAAAAAAGAAAATTATCTCAGAAATATTTTCTTGTTTCAGTCACATGAGATAAGAGCTCATGGTTTCCATCAGAATCAACCACATGTAGTAACAGCTCTGTGATTTCAGAGGGAACCCAAATTCTAAGACAGTCCACTTCCCCCCCATTTAGGAAGTTCTCCCATGGTTTTGAGAAGGGTGAAATACTCAAGTCCTAACTTAAGATTGAATTCAAACCTGTTGACATAGATCATAAACATTTTTTAATTTCTCTCTAAGCTCAAGATTTCCAACTGTAACCTAGAGTGCTTGCACAGCCTCTCTGGAGCCACTAGTACTGTTCCAGTAGCTGAAGGCAAGACTCAACGTGAATTAGACTGAGATAATACAACCTGAGGGTGAAATTAACTTTGTGCAGCAAGTCTGACCGTAGTTTGTATTATTTAATCCTTGGTTTCTGAAGATACCTGATGCACTACCTTTTGTGCCAACTTTCTGTTTCTGCAGAAGAACACTTCTAGCTGAGGGTTGTAATCGCAGAACTGTTCACACTGGAAGGGATGGCTCCAAACCCAATGTTCAAGCCGGTCTTCTAGAGTTTTCTACTGCATAAAACGCACTCTTCTCTCAAATTAAATATTAGCAGGAATTGATTTCCAGAAGAGGTAGCAATGGAACAAAGCCCTCTTCAGAATTTCCATAATCAACTCACATAGTTCTGTCTACCCACTTGACCCATTTTGATAAAGGTGTTAGCTAAAATTCTACAGATTCTCTAAGGCTTAGTTTTGCAGAATCAGATTTTAGATGAGTAGCTGGGACACACAACCAAACACAAACAAGCAAGTTTAACTGGTAGGGACTTGGATGATTTGGGGTAATGAGAGTCAAAGCCTTCTTGCCAGATGTTACTAAAAGACACACTGTTGGCAAAAGGCTGTTCTGTTACCCGTTTAAGACAAGGCTTTAGATTAGTTCTACCAGAACTATAAACCTAAATAAGCTTGGATCCATATCAGAGGTTCTTCTTACGCATAAAATCATCAAAGATCAGAAAAAAAGGACTTTTAGATTTCATTATCTGTTTGATAATCAGGTTTGATGTCAGGTTAAAACATCAGAGTGCTTGATTGAAGAAGAATTCCAACTTCCCAAGGAACTTATACCTGTCATCAGCACAACTTTGCAAAAGAGAGTAAACCTTTCCATCACTAATACTCCCTTCTAATTACAAGCAAAGAAAGCCAACAGAGAGCACAGAGATGAAGGTATGGGTTTATGTTGCAGTAGAGTTGGTGCTAACTTACCCAAGGTTGAGTTGGATTCATAGTTCAGCTTTAATCAATGTATCCTGCAACCATCTGGCACAAACTGTATGTCAATAATGGGTTTAGGTTTCTTCTAAGCTCTTTAAGAAGGGATTTCATTATGAAATTGCAACAGTAAGTCAATTTGACACAGAGAACACTGATATAACTAGGAGTAAAAACCTAAAGGGGAAATGGTTGCCGTATATGCCATATATAAGCCATATATGAAATCTGACTATGCAACCATGAATGGAGGTTAACTGCTAATGTATGCCATTTCATCTTAAAATTGCCATGGCACTAGTTTTCTTGAGATCATTTTGTTGGAATTAATATAAAAAAGAAAGAAAGAAATCTGTGCATTTTTTAATCAGAGTACATCCTTGTCACATCGCTTTGGCACAAGAACCAAGGTGAGTTATTGACTCTCCCTTCAGAGCTTGTTGAACTTCACATTTTGAAATAAAAGTTCTAAACAAAATAAGTGGGTTTTTGTTTTTTTGTTTTTTTCTTTCTATAACTGTGGGAAAAGAAAGTACACATTTTGGGAGAACTCTCCAGTTCTTTGAAGGCATTAACACAGTTAACAGTCAGTTATACATCATATGTCTCTGAAAACTGTGGACGTTTCCTCTGTGCCATCTTATGAACTAGCCCAAGAACAAGTATTGCCATTCCAATATTAAAATACAATTTAACAACTCCTTTAAATGACAGAGACATCTGTGCATAAATAACAGCACATGTTATGACTCCCCTTGGGGACACTAACTGTCTTTAATAAAACTGCTGTAATTACAAGGTCCTATATATCAACAGTCTCTAATACAAAAACTTATGATCTAATCTGCTTCCCTAGCTTGACAACTAATACAGAGTGACAGATCAGTCGAAGGTAAAACTCCAGCATACTCTTCTGTGCAGTGTTATATAGGCCAGCTTTAAATATTTTAAACAGCCTGAAATCAGCCAACCAAAGCTTTTTTTCTTCAGCTTGCCTCCAGTACAAACACAGAATTGCAGAAAAAAAGTGTAAGTTGATCTTTCCATAGCAGATTAGTTACATGCTAATCAGCAGCTGGAACCTCATCAAATCACCTTTTGAGGTTTCATTAGCTGATGTACCGAGAGAAATCATGCTTTAAAGTGTCAATATATTATACAGAAAATGTCTGTGACCTGTCAAAAAGCACTGATTATACATAAAAATGATTTGGTAGTTAAATGTGGAATTTCTATACTATCTTTCAAAAACAAAAGATCTACAAGACTGTAAAAATAGCCAATTAAATCAATTGGATGCATTCAAGCTTCTCACTTAAATCAAAGAAAAATCTAGGTTGAAATTACACTTGAATTTTGCGTAGTGTCCAAAACCTTACATTTAGTGTCCCTTCGCAGCTCACTTTAAGGATTAGGCTAATATTTTGACTACTATTAATGGAGAATGCACACTAAAAATGTATGCATTTTAATGGAATCTTGGCACTGAGGTTAAGCTCACGTGAACTAAAAGGTATCTAGGTACCTATTCATACCACTACATATGAATTTAACTTCACTTTTTAGTATGCTAGGAAAAAACAACACTATAATACAGGAGACCCAATTACATTTACAAATGCTACAAAGAAAAAATATCCAGTATAGAAAAGTGCTTAATCCTATTGTGTTCTTCAAATGAATGTTATATTGGAAAGGGAGTTATTATAACCCTGTACTGGCATATAACAACATATACAAATACAAGTATCTTTCATTAACTACTCAATAAGGCTGCAATCAGGGCTAGCTAAACAAAATCCTTTATCAGTTTAGCAGTTGTTCATGAAATAACATTGACTTTCTCATTAACTATGTTTTGCTGTCAGAGGTCATAATTTACACGAGTTTTAGCAAATTTCACTTGTTTAAGAGCTTTCAAGTCTCAAGTGACTCAGTAAATTCTGTAGGGCAATTTGAAAAGCAGCATCTATATGCAAATAAGTTCACAATCCCAGAACGTACACTTCTCTAAAGCCTTCCATTCGATTCTCATTAGACATCCTTTTCACACACATCTTCACTTCCTTTTCTTTATCTTTAATTTTAACACAGCTCTAAGACACTTATCTCCACATATGATAACTAAGAAACATTATCTCCATGATACTTTTATTTTTTTCACACATTGGAACAAGTAGGAACATATGTATCACCTCTGGCTCAGATTTCTGTAATGTGGCTGAAATATTTTCTAAATAATTAGATCCTCTTCTAGCTATGAGATAATAAGTTGGTTTATTAAACCACAACAACACAGTGGGCAACCTGATTACAGTAGAGAGACAGGGGAATAACATGGACTTACACGGCTCTTAATGGGGGAAAAAGAATTTGGTTCCAATTAATTATTTCTCCTCATCAGTATATTCCTCTTCTTTCTATTCACCTTTTCAGTACAATTCTCTTGATTAAAATGATAGTCAACTGAGCATGTATGTTTCAGTGGATCTTGGTGCTCATTCACCTTCTTGCATCTGTACCCATTACAATTTACACTTGTCCTTCAACGTGGAGATTCTACACTCTTTTCATCAGTGCTTCACCAGTCTGATCCTTTTTTCAATAGAAGACTGGGTTTTGGCTTCTTAAATAAACTCTTGATTAGCAGCAGCAGTAATAAAAAAAAGTTGAACTCCTTTCTTGAAAAGACAACATCTCCTGGCAAACCCTGCCTGCTAATGTTAAAACTACCTTAAATTTATTTAATTTAGAGAGGCTGTTAGGAGCACTTGAGATGCACTGTGCTCCTTTCTGACTCAAATGTAACCACAATAGAAAAATGAAAGCTACAACATCCACCAGTTGGAGAATACTCCAAGTAATTGAAATCTTTGTTATGCACAACCTTCTCTGCTATGCTGTCACAGCTCACAAGTTTTCCTTATTTTTTTTTATTTGTAGTTCACATCTTGTTTCTTAAATGTTTCTTAAATGCATTAACCACAATCCTCACAAATACCAATTTTGATTAATTTGGATAGCTCAGTAGACAACAGACCAAAACAGAAATTAATTCAAAGAAATACTGGGTCTCACAAAGCCACTAGTCACAAATGACAAATACCTAATCTCAGCTTCACTGGATGGATTTTCCTTAGTTAGATGCTGATTTGTGTGGACACGTGCCCATTATGCTTGAAATTGGAAAGCATCAGGTAATCGGAGAAGAGAAATATACTGCCCAAAGGACTTAGACAATTGCATCAGAAACAAGCAGGCTAGCATAAAATAGAAGATGATAAATTTTTTAGGACCACCTTCTGAGCCTGCAAGATAAAATACGTAGGTTCTTTTAGGTATGCATTATTAAAACTGCTTTTTATGATCCAAATAACCACTTAAAAAAAGTGACAACATCAAAAAAGCAAAACAAAACAAAAAGCAACCACCAGAACCAACCACAATATTACAGACATGCAGTAATACTGATAAAAAGGAAGCATCTATCAGAACATTGCCATGTTGATGTGATTAACCTCTCAACTAGAGAAGTATAGAAGTAATACAAGTTAATTAACTTTACTATTTGTGTTCCATTTCTTCTTTGAGGCTTGATACTAGAAAGCTGGCACAGCAGCTTGTCAAAAAACCCCACCAGACCACACATATAGCAGCTCTCATCTTCCAGATGATTCGGGCTTCATAACCACATAAAAGTGTATCTTTAATGTGAAATTACAAATGTAAACTGGATTGTGTTAATCACTTCTCCTAAGTGCAGACAACGTTTTGTACATATAAGCTAGCTCAGGTAATACAAGAAAACCCAAATTCTGACAGTTAATTCATTGTTCCAAATCATTAGGCAAAGCATGTTCAATCTCCTTTCTTCAACAATTAACATAGCATTAAATAGCTACATAGAAAATAGCATAAATAGCACTGCAGAACCTTTTCACACTAAGCAATTTTGGTCAGTAATTAACTACACATCTAAACGGACAATACTGAGAATAGTATGAATATGTTAGGTAAGATTTAAGTAATTAAAATTAAAATTGTATACGTAACGAATGCCTGTAATTACACAAAAAATTTGGGTAATTGCATGCTGCAATAATCAGTTATGAATTGAAACCTACTGCTTAGGCATGTAGCTTCCCAGGCTATACTTGCATTTGCCAGAAGCACAGTTTAGACATGTAGATGAAGACAGACAGACAGGAATCTCATATTTCCACAGAAACAGGAAGTTTGACATTCTAAGTAGAGATTACCTTCAACTGCATGCAACTGGAAACCTACATAAAGCTAAGTTTCAAGTTTCAACTTTTGCTATCTTGTTCCTTCTACCGTATCTTACACACAGACAATATTTTATAATTTTTTTGAAAACAAGCATCTAGCTTCAAGGAAAAGCAGCACTATACTCATTACCTAAAATTCTCTTTATGTTATGTTGGTTTCTTACCAAGTTCTACATCCTGATCATCAGTAAGAACAAGGATGATGTTTGGGCGGATGTTTCTACGGTCTCTTTGAAATCTTCCTTTCAGACGCTGATTTAACAGGAAAGCTGAACTTCCATCCAACAGTGATAAAACCATCATCATGAATAATCCAAGGACAACACTATGCTGTGCCATATTGTGTTGATTTAGTGTTCTCTCTGAACAACGTATGTTAATGGCTTCCACTTCGTTTTTGTTTGCAGGTATCCTATAAAAGACAGAGAAACATGTATTTATTTATACTTCTCCCTCACCACCCCCAGCTCAAAGGAACAACAACAAAGTTATCTCCAAAGAAGTGAGAAGCAAGAGTTAGATAATTCTAGATATACCAAAAAAAAAAAAAAAGTATGAAGTACTTTTTTTAGTATCAACTGGAAGCAGAAACTTGAAAAAGTCACAGTTCATAAGCTGTTACTTACATATGCAATTAAGTTTTTCACTCTATGCTCAAATTCAGCAGCAATTTCAAGGGCTCAGTAGTGCATCAAACTCTTACTCTTGCTTTGATACATAAAAAGTAACCTCCTTATTTAAGGTTCTGGGATGTACTGAGATGACATTTTTGCTTATTGCATCAAAAATGCAAATGTTGAAAACACATCTATGTATATTTTTAAGCAGTATTAAAACTTACTGAGTTTACCACACATTTACAAACTCACAAAGGATCATCAAATTAGAAGATTTCTATTTCGCTGCTTTGACTTACAGATTTCATTAGAGTACAGAACTGTTCAGACCCTGAAACTGTTGTAGGATACTGTCTGAAGTCTCTAGCTTTGTCAATGGTGTGATTTCCTTTTGACACTTCTGTTGGTTTCCAAGATTTTCAAGTATTATTGAGTATTGAAGACTACTACTGCAAATGACTGTGAATCCACTGAAATGTTTTGCACTGCCTTAGACTTTACTTCACCATAAATACAGTTCCCCAGTTCACCTTGTTTGTAAAACAGAGCAAAACTGATACTGCTCCTTCCAGTGAGCCAGAAAAGACACTGGCCATTCCTCCAAGGAGATGCCTAAAAATAAATGAGCGTGCTGAAGCATTTTTGAAATCACAGTTACACTCAGTCTTCTTCTGCTATAAAGGCATTTTCTCCTGCTTTCAGAAGTCAAAATATATGAAACTGTAGAGAAATATCAAGTACCAATTATTTCATCAGACTTAGTGATCAATGAGTCAGTTTCTGATGGGTTCCCTACTTGCTGCTCACTACTTCCTGGACTGTTGCCAATGATCTCTTGCAATGCAGTGAAAAAAAAATAATAAAATCAATTAATAATGACACAAGGGAGGCTCTCTGCTTTTTGTAAAGACCAGAAATGCCTGAGTAGAAAGAACCTAGCCAAGTATATTTCACCCGAATAAATACATCAGCTATTCTGTTCCTATAGCCACTTGGGAGAACAATTTTTCCCCAAGCAGATTATTTCATAGCTACATTATTACTTCATCTCTCTCAGTGTCTGTTGAGATAAATTTTTATTAAGAAAGTTCTCACGAAATAGCAAAACCACTGGTCTGAAAAATTATACTCAAATTCTATGCTTATTTAAGAAATACGTATTTAATTTTCATATAAGTCAACAGATATGTACTACAGTATGATGCAATATTTACTAAGGCTGCTTTCCAAAAATGTATGCTAATAGGTTTTTTTTTTTTTTGTAGTCTCTCTATTGAGTTTCACTAGCAGGTGAGATCAACTTTCTTCATAAAAAATAAAGATTACTTTTACATATCTTACCACTTATTTCAGTGGGTAGGGAAAGAGAAAAGTCCAGCTTCCTAAATTCCAGATACAGTTTTAGTACCTTTGCTGCTGATCAGAGACTTGCCAGGCTATAGCAGAATGAGCACCGATAAGTCCTATCAATTTTCATTCCTTGTAGTCAGAATTCCATCTGCAGCAGTAGAGCTGGGAAGAATCATGTCCGATTCAGTGTGTTGCTACTGTCCAGAGAAGTCAAAAGCAGCCTGAGAAGCAAACCTGGATCTGTTTCAAAACAGGACGGAAAAAAAATTCATAATTTTAGCAGACATACATACATATATATATTCCTCAACACTGGCTTTCTAGGGGGAAGAGGTAGAGAAATGGTTTCTGATCTTCAAAGATTGTTCCACATGTATTACTCTATACCAAAAAACAAGCAAACAAAAAAGAGTAATATAGATGCTTTCATTATTTCTATCTTTCTGACAATCTAAAATTTAATGTTTTCTTTTTCTTCTGTTCTACATTAGCCAGTCACTTCCCTGAATAACAGCATTTGCTGTCATTTCTTGCAGCATTTGGAAGGCCGTCCCTTTTTGCTGTATCTTAACTACATTCACTGAAGAGCGCTGTGCATATGATCACCTTCTTTGTGTTCTTCTCACTTCTTTTGAACAAATGCATGGAAATAACCTTATGGCCTCTTTCCCCTCAGTCTGTCTTTTCCTCAAAGTTTATTGCCCCTCACTCATTCCATTGCATTTAAAAATAGAAGTTGTCCCCAGCTCAGAGTGTTGCTTATCTATCTGTGAAATACTTAACGCATTCAGGGATGTACTTAAACTGCTGTTCCACAGCTACTTTACCAAACATGTACATTTATGGTTAAAAGAATTAGTTCTATCTGAGAGGACGCTGCGGATGGAGGAGAGAACTTCATGTAAAGTACAAGAGGCATTTCCTTCCAAAACCTGTTATCTCTTTCTATCCCCCTCCTCAACAGAAAATTGTCAACTATTTTGATGAGTTATGTTCCTGTTATTATCAAGGTAAGTGCTGCCAGGAACCAGCTCAAAGCATGTAATTATGTGCAAAACTCACACCAGTAACTAGGTAAGAAAATTAAAGCAATTTTAGAAAATAACCTATTTCTTAAAATGTGTATTCATAAAAGAAAGATGTGCCACTACTAACAGCATATTTGCTGTAAAACCTAAAAGCCAGCTTTAAATAGTTCTGAGAATAGTAATAGAAGAGCCTCTTGCATGGACTGCCAGTGGACAAATATAGATGGGTATTTTTAACCCTTTGCCTTCAAGGAACTTCAGGGAGGGAAATATGACTTAAAGTGCATTAATATTCTTCCCCCATTTCTATCAACAAGCTGAACTGTGACTCATCAGTAGTACAGAGAGTCTGCAGGCAATGCCCCAGTCTGCCTTCACTTTTAATATAGCACCCACTCCAATGATGCATTTTGCATTGAGTGGCACAGATGGTCCACTGCTTTATGTGTCTCTGCAGGCCATCCTCCAATATTAAAGATGCTTGATCTCTAGTGGCTCTCATGAGAATTAGGTACGCCTCTTATTTTCTCACAGATTACATGTGCAAACTTGACGACTGTTTTATATTTAGGGAAGTGCTATCAGAAATGCATCAAACACTCTGCAGCTGGGTCACCTAGCTCAGCTTTATCAAGCCTACAACTTCTGAGCAGGCTGCAGTAGAGAAAGTCTCGTCCTCTTATTTTCTATGGTTTACGGTCAAGTTTAACAAGTCCCCAACTCCCTTCATAGCCTGAATTAGATACAGCTGCCTTTTTTTGTTCTTAACTCCCGCTAGCATGGAGAATAAGAATAGTGCCAAACTCAGTTCTCCTGTGTGGCAGCGCAGAACACTACGCTAAGTCACATTATAAAAGTTGAAGATTTTAGTGCATTTATTCTATTTATAAAAGATCGGAGACAAGTTCCACTCCCAACATTTACACCAAGGAAGGACAACTTTTTAATACTGCCCTCAGTAATTATCGTCAGTTCCACTGCAGCGCAGGCAGGATGCACGAGGATGACTGATGTCAGTTCTATCCCCAGATGGTGTTTTTTATCAAGCTATTGATTAGTATTGCTTGGCACAGATGTAACATCACCACGTGTCAACCCAGTAGCTGACAGCAGACGGCACACAGTGCAGCTCCAAGCCTTGCTAATACCAGCCACACAACTGTCCTGTGCACAAACCTAGTGCAACTTCACTGAAGTCAAACAAATTACATTGTGTCAATATAATCAGAGTGCTCCTGTAACAGAAAAAGCACAAGGATACGAAATCAATTCATGAATCAAATGTAAGTTAATCCCACTTTAAGACTTTCTACAAAGCTGTTTCTAGTTTTGCTTACACTAACTTATCTTTTTTTTTTTTACGTACACTGCAAAACACGAAATACAGAATTGGTAAGGCAGCCACAATAGAACAGGGTAACAGCATGAAAGCCACGAAGTGGAACTGCACAGTAAGGGAAAGCAGGTTAGCAACAAGCGACACACACCTGCTCCACATCCAGCTGGAGCCAATACCAGGTGCATTATTCAAGCACACTTAGGTGTGCCATTTGTCCACTGCTTAAAGTCATTGAAATACATGGTGGTGGATCCATTCCCTAGCAACCAACCCAATTAAAACCACTTTGCCAGTTAAATGGATTCAGCCGCTCTGCCGTTCTCTTAACTCTCGACTTGCTCCTATACGTATCGGGTTTGGTTATGACATTCCATTTTCACTGAAGCTGTCAGCCATCATTTGAAACCATCATATTTTGTTTGTAAGAGACAAAAACAGCTTGATTTGTGAACTGGAAAGATTTCTGTTGATAATCCAACCAGGTTCTCAGGAGAAGGCTGAAGTTATCATTCATGCTATAATCTAACAGCACGCTGTATCTTCTTCTGCTTTGGCTCTTACTTGTTTCTTTCTTTTTTTCCCCACAGCCAGTCAGAAGCTTAAGCACAGCTAAGTGAGGCTCTCAGTGACGATAGCTGTGCTGATTTACCTATCTAAACCGTGGCTCAATTATTTTCCTTCACAAGCAACCAACGTTTATTCAGAAATCAGGAAGAGAGCTCCCAGACTTATCAGGGCACTGGATTACCATGCGGATGAATTCTCCTGAACTGCCTTCCTTATGCTGGTAAATTCCATACCAAAGCTAAATATTTATCAAAGGAAAGCCTACATTCATTGTGGAATCTCTTCCTTATTATGCAACTTCCTTTTAACTAACACTGAATTCAGTGTTCAGTTATAGTTTTTCTTAGGACTTCATTTTAGAAAATGTTTTAAAATACATAATATACTCTGTGCATCTCTGTACCATCCTTCCTATTCACCGCCTGCATATTTTGCTATAGGTTTCCTGTAAGTCACAACATTCATAAGCCTTCAGGTAGGTTTCACTGCTAATTGGATCCTCCAAACCCACACTAACAAACATGTTTTTCTTCACTACGTGCAGATAACAGCCCAACAACAACTTCTAAGAGACTAAGAATTACTCCCCTATTACACTTATTACCTCACGTCTTTATAAACCATAAAGACACTCTGATTCTAAAGATAATTATATTAACTTGTGCTATGTACAACAATAACCACCGACTTACCAGAAGGGAACGAATGCAAGAGCATTAAGACAGAAAAGGTAGGCAAGAACAGTCACTGACACAAACATTCTATCAAGCAAACAGATTTCTTGCAGCTAGATATAGAAACAAACCCTGCTCTGTATATACATCCATTAACACATACAGACGTTCAGCCGCACGCATTCCCCGGATGCATGCGATGATTTATGAAACGAGAAGCGAAGTGCTACAGCATCACTTATGTGCCAACTCTTCTCCCGACCACCGCCCGCCGCGTGCTGAGCTGCCGATGTCTGCACCGAGCGCCCTCCGCTCCGCGCCGCAGCGGGCCGGGGCTGAAGGGCGGCGGCGCCGCGGGGAGCAAGGCGGGGAGCTTCCGAAGGCACAGCCGCATCCGTCTGCCTTCCCGGCCCTTTTTCTCCGAACGCTCCCGCACAACTTTCAGCCCCGGCCGCTCCCCACGCGGCGCGAGCCCCTCCGCCCCGGCTCCCCGCCCGGTTCGGCCTCCGGAGCCGCAGCAGCGGGGCGCCGCCGCCCCCTCCCCCGCCGCGCTCTCACCGCGGAGCCGGGGCTCAGCCGCGCCGTGCCGCCGCTTTGCCAGGCCGCCCGCGGAACGCCGCGGCGGAGAAGGGCATCCTCTGGCAGCGGCCGAAGCCCGCTTCCGAGCGAGCGTTCAGAGGAAGCGCTCGGGCGGGTGCTCCGCTCCACCCGCCCCGTCCTTCTTCCTCTCCCTTCTCCTTTCCCCGTTTAAAAAGTTCATTTACCTCGAAGATCCTCCTCCCGGCGTTGACGCAACGCCCCGGCGGCGCGCAGAGGAAACCTGTTCCTCCGGCCGCAGCTCGCCCCGAGCCTGGCGGCAGCTCCGCGGGCTGTGACTGCGCCCCGGGGCCGGACCCCGCCGCGGGAAGGGTGCGCAGAGCCTCCCGGGGGGTGGGAGAGAGAATTAATGGCCCCTCGTTGGTCGTGGTCCGCTCATAAGCGGCCCGAGGCGACCTCGAGCACTGCCCTTGCCCTGCTACAGCAGCCCCTTACACTTGTGCGAGGGCTTATTAGTAACTGAGAGAGCCTTCGCTGAGCTCCTTGAGACGGTGACTCGAAACAACATCCATCATACACGGAAAAGCAATGATGTTTAAATAAATATCTAAATACACACAATCTCGCGTGGATTCTTTGGGAACGTCTAAGAACAGCTTTCAAAGACACTAATTTATTGGTACTTTACAAAAAGCATGATTTTTTTCACAAGTTACACTGGTGACAATGCCACACTGAGCTTACTCACACTTTACTACTATGTCCAATATGTAATTACACACAGATCAAAAATTCCTTGACTCTGAGCTTCCACCTTTTTTACCATAAAGTTCCAAACATACAACTAAAAGTAAAAAGAATTTTAATGCCACTATTTTTATGATTAAATGATGCTACAGCAAAAATGTGGTTGAGAATGGACAGGACAGCTTTTCTGTGCAAGAACAACCAGTGGAAGAAGAGCAGAAAGAGACTGAGCAGAAAAGGACAATCCCATCTTTTTGCTACTTGAAGTCCAAAGCAGCAAAGGAGTATGACAGTTCCTGAGAACTCCTAAGGAAAATGGCCAAATGTAGTTCGAAGAAAAAAAGTCAGCACAGGGCAGATGTGTAGGAAGAACCATAATTGTTCAAGAAGTAAATATTTTGAAAAGCCACACAGGATATATTAGAGAAAATGAAAATTTACTCGTTTAGTTTATGATTTATTTGGATTTTTGCCTAAAAACAAACATTGCTTCCAATGACCTAATTCTGACTTTGCTGGAGAAGGCTAATCATCCTGACCTTTTTTCATTAGGCCACATTCTTCACTACATTCAGTGTGACCCTGGATCAGCTCAATTGAAGCAGCACAGATCCCCCACATACAGCTGCAGCACGGCAGGGGAACCTGGCAGCTGTGCTCAGGAACCAGCAGCACAAGAGCAGCACTTTGTGTCAGTACAACCGCATCCACTCCAGGGGCTGCAATGGTACAACGGTGTTAGTGCAGCACACCACTCCTGAACAGCGAGTTACACCAATGCAGGTGGTGGATGGAAAACAGGGGCTACGTGTTGCTGACGTTTTGATAAGATTGTTATATTGCTTTCTAAGATAGCATTTGACCTTTCAGTAGTGACTTCCAACACGTGATAAAACAATTCACAGCCAATTAAGTTTTACAACACACCTGTGAGCTATGGTGTGTTCTATTTCCACATATTTTAGACACAAACTTGAGTTGGATAAGGCAGATGAGTCATACAGAGCCAAAAAGACATTCAGCAGCAAGGTCAGGAACAGAAACCAGGAAACCCAGCATTCCTCTGTCCCAACCACAGGCCAACAGCGCCTGCAATGCACAGATTCTACGAACCAGCTCTAGAAGGACTGCAAACAGTTACTACCAAGTCAGAAGGAAATTTGCTGCACAAAGTTTGCTACACCACAGTGGTCCATGGACTGCACTAAAGAAGGAAGCATACACGCTCCTTTTTTAAAGGCATTTTCATCATAAGGAACACATGACCTAATAAAGTTTCATTGCGAACTTTCTTCAACAAGCTACAATCAACAAAGACACTGAGATGTGCATTAGGGGCAGTGGTGTAGCAATCTAAATTTGATTTAGCATCACTGGAAAATCTGTCACAGCTGATCATTCATTTCAACAAAAGGGTAAATTCACCTCGCAGTCAGTGCATGTAATTTCCATTAATGTTAATGGCAGTTATGCAAGCGCATTAAGAGGATAATACACCCCCTGGTTTGTGACAACCCTGCAAAGTGAAAGGTGCATCCTCTTGAAGAGAATGGGTTTCCAGCTCATGCATTTCAAAATAACTTCTTTTGGCACTGTTACAAACAGGATAGATAACTATTATATGTACTTGGAGAACAGTTTCCAAAGTTACAGCAGTTTAGCAATTTCAGCTCATTTTCCTAGTGCCAAAAACTCAAGGGATATAGGCACATTTAAAACACTGTGGTTTATTTGAAGTCTCGGGCAACAAAATCACGTGAAATTACTGGTAAAACAAGAAGGCCTGAAAGAATGCTGGTGCAAGGAGGAAGGAATGATGTAGGTTTATACTTTTTAAATGAAATAAATTCATTCACTAACTGTAAAAGAACTCTGTGTGTATATAGACCATCACACACATACACACACACACACACACACACACACACACAAAAAAAAAAAAAAACAACAATCAGACCAAAAGCTAAAATAAAGAAGGAAGACCATTTCTTTACCCCCAGTTTTCTCGCTGCACACCGAATAAATTTCAGCTCTCATAGCATGTCATTTAACAGATTGGATTATTTTATTGAACCTCAAAACAACAAATATTGCCGATTACACAAATACTTAGTTTGTAAAATCCCTGGATATACCTACTGAAATTAGGAGGAAACAGATGTGCAGGCATTTTTTGAGTACCATCACATCTATCCACATTCTTAGGCAACAATCCCTCTCAAAATTAAACCTGCAGTTTCCCTGCACACCTTACTTTGAAGTAGCACGGCACAAAAAAATGCATTGAGCAACTCATGTTGGAATGTTTACTGCTCTATGGATTTGGGAACCAAAGGGAGCCATCTTGACCCAGCTGGCAGATAGGGGGGATCCACACCATTATCTTCTCATCAGCTCAGAGACAACAGCCTGTACCCAACAGTGGAGAAAGCAGGCATGGGCAACTGTACCCCCATCACAGAGCTTTGGGAACAGGAGGAGGAGCACATCTAGAAACTCTCAGGAATGACAGGATAGTCACAGAGAGTTCAGTCATCTAAAAAAAAACAAAACAACCACCACTAAACACCAAACCAGCCGACTCCATAAATGGAAGAAAAAGAACATGCTTGAGACATCTTTTTCACTGTTGCCAAATACAATGTGCTTTCAGAGCTCAAATATTGCTCCCTGCTCATGTTCCACAAGATAGAACAGCTGCCTTGCACACTTCTAAGTACTTCATTTAATGCTTTCCAACTCTTTCAGTTACCCTTTATTTTTGTAGTTATTTATCATGTAAACGTCTCAAATCATTGGTCATTTTGATCTTTTTTTTTTCCCTGTTTTTCAATTCAGATGCACATGCTCAGATTCATCTTAAAAACTTAGAAAAACACAGCAATAGAATACAAGTCTGACCTCACCTTCATTTTCTCAGGGCATCATACCACTGTAATCACTCCAAGGTTACACTAACTAAATATTTTCCAGATAGGAATATTATGTTATTGTAATTTGTCTAAACAACAGCATTTCAGTTGCATAAAACATGCACATATTCCTTCAACAACATTCAGAGTACTGTCAAGAAGGCACAATATGAGACCCAATATTCAATATCATCATCCCATACACTGTGTAGATTTTATATTGCAGATGCAGCTCAAAATGATTTTGTGGGTGACTGCTCCACCCTTATCTTTCAAAGTTAAGTTATGTTTCCTATACATAAGCACTCATGCTATAGAATAAAATCGTCAATATGCTTTAAGGTGTTATGAAAATGGAAAAGGGTAACAGCCAACAAAAGCAAGGAGAAAGAAAAGTTTCCCCTTGTTCTATTGCTCCAACTGCTAGGCAGCGGATCTGTTCTGCTCACTCTTCAGCATGAAAATACAGATTTAGTATGCTGATAGGATTCATTTATGGCTGGGAGTTCATAAAGTCAAGAGAAAATAATTTCTGGGCAAAGATAAATCAAATGATCTTAAACACAGCTCGTGATAGTGGATGCCACTTATTTAGTGAAATACTAAAGCAGAGAAGATGATTGGGAAGTTGTACCAATAACAAAAGTAACATCCCAGTGTACTGATAGTTCATCTACATGGATATCAAACTCAAAACAAAGCTTCCAGTAATCTAAACAGAAATTCATTGCAAACATTTATTAGAATGATTCTAAACTGCACATATAAAATTAATGTGCACTGAGCATTAGTACTACTAATAAGCCTCAGTGGTGCATCTGAATATCAATACAAGTATGAACTGCCGTTGGTCACACAGCTCCTATGACAAATGGTGAAAAAACAACCCTACTTTTTCCCTATTTATAAATTACCCATAGAACAGTTGATTGTAAGCCAACAGTGATTTAATATTGTTTTTAATAAATTTTTCTATTCATAAAGAATTCAGATATGTTTTGTTTAAATCATCTTGATCTCATTTCCCTTGGTAGGCTTTCAACATTTCAGTATGGCATGCAAGCTGCCTCTTACTCCAATGCTGAAAATATACGGATATGAAGCAATGGGATAAGGATCAGAAAGATGCATTCCGTTAACTACTGACTACTGCTCTCTTTCCTCAGCAAATGCTTACATTCACTTCTACTAAAACTTCTCCTAGAGAAGTCAGTAGCCATTGTCCTTATTTCAGTAAGATTTTGTAAGGAAATAGTGAAGTATGTAACAACAAAAAAAAAAAGCTGTGTATTTCAGATTAGACAGTGTTTCAACAGAGACATGACAAATCAACCGATACAAGATAGAGCAGCAAGCCTCAACTTCATCTAACTACTGCGTTCATTCTTTTCTGTACATTTAATACTAGTAAAGGGTCCCAGAAGGGTTTAGAAACGTATAATATGCACAAAGCCAGTATCTCTAACAAGTATCATTAACTCTTTTTAAGAGAGTAAGGAATTTTAATAGTGAAGCTTATCTTTT